GGGGGGGGGGGGGGTTCCCAAGCCGTGTCTGCTCTCGATATTTAATCGTCCCGGAAGGCGGCGGTTGGAGGGAGAGAATTATGATGACATATGTTATCAATACGACGTTGTATCGATGTGTTCTTCTAGAGCCTGGAGAGTATGAGGATGAGGTTTAGGCGACAATAGTCGTGTATTATATGTCCCCATATTATTACTCCGTACTCTCGTATGTTTTATATGTAAGGGTAATCTGTAATCTGCAGCTAGTATTTAGTATTAGGTTGGTGCCAGGGACCGGCCTCGTGATTCAGGAATTCATCAAACTTCCTCATGGACCCTCCGTCCCGCTGTCGCTGCCTTCCTCTCAAACGGAGACTGTACGGGCGATTGGTAGTAGTGCTGGCATTCCGAGAGGGATTCCATGGGTCCTGCCCCGTACCCGTAGTGATGCAGCCATCACGTCAAGTCCAGCTTCTCTCCGTTTTATCCCTGATACATGTGCTCAACTACCGTGCACTGATAGATGATATGAGCGCCCCCCACGGCACACACGGTACTCGTACAACCCCATGTACTGAAAATAGACCGTCCACCCTGAATTACATTCGTACATGCATGTTCAGATTGCGTGTATCTGATTATGTAATGTTCCTCCCCATAGTGGAGATCCATCGGCGGTTGACTCCCCCTGGGCGGACAGCGCTCTACGAGTATCAACACTCGTCGTACCTGTATTACGGGAGTAAGAGTAGGCCTGTAATACTCCATATTACCCCGTTCGAGGCCGCTGTCCGTCGTCCCCCACCATGGAACGACGATCTTTTTTTCTCACTCCCCAATCGACAGTTTTGGTGGGGGGGGCACTTTTTTTTCTTTTTTTCTTTTTTCGTGATATCTGTTTTCCGCAACACACCAAAACACAAACACCCAACATATAACAACACCAACAACACACACAGACACGCACACAAAAAGAAAACAAGAAAGAAAAAAAGACAAAAAAAAACAAATGGGAAAATCAAGAAGAAACAGAGCCGGCGCGGCTTCTCGTCGTCGAGACCCCATCTCCAAACCCGTCAAGCCCCCCTCCGATCCAGAGCTGGCCGCCCTCCGCGAGCAAAAGATCCTCCCCGTCGTGCGGGACCTGCAGAGCGTCGACCCCAAGATGCGCTCGTCGGCCGCCTCGGCCATATCCAACATCATACAGGACTCCCGGTGCCGCAAGCTCCTGCTGAGGGAGCAGGTGGTCCACACCGTCCTCGGCCAGACCCTCACGGACTCGGCTCTCGAGAGCCGCGCCGCCGGCTGGGGTATCCTGCAGGTCCTGGCCCAGGAGGAGGAGCCCGACTTCTGCGTGCACCTGTACCGCCAGGACGTCGTCACCGCCATGGAGTACGCCGCCAGGGCCGTGTCGGAGAGGCTGGGCGCCGGTGCCGCGCCCCCCACCAGGGCCGAGGAGCCCCTCCTTCTGAGCATCGCCGGGTCCCTGGTGTCGCTGGCCACGGCCCTGGCCGAGGCCCGGGACGACATCCTCGTGTCCCTGTCCGCCAGCAGCGCCATCACGTCCTTTCTCTTGGCCATGACGACTGCATCGCCATCATCATCAACACCGTCATCGTCTGCCACGGACTCTTCCGTCTCCGTCACCGTCGCCGGCCTGCGGACCGACGCTCTCGCCTGCCTCATGATCCTCACCGAGGACAACACGGCCCTCGCCGAGACCATACTGTCCAGGGCGCCCGTCGCCTACGAGACCCTGCGCGCCCTGCGTAAGGACGTCTCGGGTGATTCCATCCTGTCCTGCGCCGTCCTCCACAACATCTTCGTCTCCCTTCAGGACAAGACGGTCGACCACCAGATCGTCGACGACTCGGCCATCGTGCCCACCCTGGCCAAGACCCTCGCCGAGATCACGGCCGACGACCGCCACGACGATACGCAGGGCTGGTCCAGCCCCTTCCAGTACCGGCAGCTCGCTCTCGAGATCCTCGCCTCCATGGGCACAAGCTTGATGGCGGCTGGATCCGACGGGGAGGGCAAGCCAGAAGGTGACGCAGAAGCCGCAGCCGCAGCCGATGATGACGATGACGAGGACATGGGTGACGACGGCGAGGACGGTGATGAGAAGACCGACGCAGACAAGGACGGAGGAGAAGGAGGAGAGGAAGACGAAGAAGGAGAGGACGAGGGAGAAATGGACGAGGACGAAATGCGGGCCGACATGGACATGGTGACGGGCCCCGACGACGAAGCCCCCACGTCAGGCATCGACGACCTCCCCGTGCTCAAGGCGCTCCTGCGCGACGCCCTCCCCGAGATGATGCGCGTGGCCTCCCTGCCGGTCCGGTCCGACGAGTCGCTGCAGCTGCAGGCGCTGGCCCTCTCGGCCCTCAACAACGTGGCCTGGTCCGTCTCGGTCCTCGACCTCTCCGACGACGACAACAGGGGAATCCAGCAGGCCTGGGAGCCCGTCGGGCGCGCCATCTGGTCGTCCGTCATCGCGCCCATCCTGTCCAGCGACACGGCCGATGTCGCCCTCGCCAAGTCCGTCACCGGCCTCGCCTGGGCCGTGGCCCGCACCTTCGCCGGCGCATCCCTCCCAGCCCCGCTCGAGAAGGACGAGCACCGTCGCTTCATGACCCTGTACCAGGCCACCAAGGGACGTGATCTTCTGATGGCCGCCACCGCCACATCCAACGGCAGTGAAAACGGCAACAGCAGCAACAACAAAAACAAAAGCAGCAGCGACGAGAGCCAAGATCCCTTCCAGAGCCTAGGAGTCAAGTGCATCGGCGTCCTGGGTCAGCTAGCTCTGCACCCCACCCCCGTCGCCATCAACCGCGAGATAGGCACCTTCCTCGTCACTCTCGTCGCCGGCCTGCCAGACCAGACCCCGGCCGCCGACGCCGTCGAGGCCCTCAACCAGCTCTTTGACATGTACGCCGACGAGTCCCAGCCCTGCGACCGTGAGGTCTTCTGGTCAGATGGCTTCCTCAGCCGCCTTGAGGAGTCGCTGCCCAAGGCCAGGGCCATGGCCAAGTCCGTCGACAAGAGGCGCTTTCCCGAGCTGAGGTCTCGCGCTGACGAGGCTGTCTTGAATCTCAGCAGGTTCCTATCTTATAAGAAGAAGAATAAGCCGTAGTTACTTGTTTTGATCTATATAAGAACCATATAGAATCATGATGATGAATGGAATGGAAAGAAAAAAGAAAAGAGGGGGGGATAAAACAAAGGGAAAAAAAGGTGCATAAAAAGTTATTTTTGAATAGAACACAAACACGATGTGGGTCAATTTTTCTATAGGTGTCAAGGCTAAATGAAGACAAGATTTGTATATCATATTTCCTATGGCTACGTGCACATACATGTACATGATTTATGTACGCATGCATGCATCCATCTGATCCCGAGATAATAAAACAAGAGGAAAAAAAACCCTTGAAAGAGAAGTCGCAAATATCAGCACCGCTCAAAAACACGATACAGACCCTTTAGACTGGCAACTTCTAGAACCCCCCGTTCCATGAGCGACGTGGTAGCCACGAGTCTCGCCTTGAAGGCCGGGAAGAAGATGTGCTCGACCGCCCACCGAACATGCTGCCTCCTAACTCTCACCTCTTGCGATACGACCTCACCGTCAGCTGCGCCGGCGACGTCAGCCGCGCCAGGTCTCCTCCTGGAGTCGGAGCATGTGGTGGGCAGCTGCTCGGGTGTATAAAAGGTGGCCAGCTCCCGAATCAGCGTACGGAAGCAGGCCTTCTCCTCCGTCCAGTCGACCTGGGGTCCGAGCCTGAGCAGGAAGCGCGGCAGCTTGGCCAGCGGCGGTGTATACCCCTTCACCAGGAGTGGGATGGACACGAGGTCGCCGAGCGGGGAGATCTCGAGGGAGAAGTACTCTTGCAGCATCTCACGGCGCTCGACGAGCTGGGCGGCCACTTTGCCCACCACACCCTCAACGTCGAAGCCACCGGCGTCACCACCTTTCCGGCTTTCTGCTGCTGTCGCCTCGGCCTGGGCTGCCAGGCGTAGCAGCTTCACTAGGTCGAGCGGCGGGTTGAACCGGATGGTGCCGAAGTTGCCGAAATCTGTGAGCCCGAGCTGGAAGAGGTACTCGTAGCAGGCGTGGCCGTAGTCGACGAGGAACAGCTTTATGCCGCCCTGGACGGCGGCCAGGCGGCGACGCTCGTCAACGATGCCGACAAAAGTGTGAGAGGCGAACATGTCGGTCAGGTCGGCGTGCATGTCCGATCGGACCTCGGCGCGGAGCTCCTTGACGCTGCGGAGTCGGCAGAGGACGGGTTCGCGGTCGTCGACGGTCTCGTACGCGATGCTTTCCGGTGCCGAGAGGGGCTGCTGTTCGTCATTGTTGTTGTTGTCGTTGTTATTGTTGTCACGACGCGGCGATGACGACGACGACGACGGCATGCTGTTGCTGTTGCTGTTGCCCACCAGTGCCGAGGCGCTGGTGAACATGCTTGTGATTTTTCGCTCGGCAGTGTCCGTCCTGATGAGTGAGTTGGGATTCTTGACGGGCTTCTTGCCAATGATGGACAGCTTCGGCGCTGCTGTCTTGTTATCGCCACCATCCATCTGCTGCTGCTGGGACGATGAGGCCGTGTCGACGGCAGGCGACGAGGCGCCGGGTAGGAGCGTCTGGGCCATAAAGGTGCGGCTCATGTCGACGGCGGCCAGCCTCTTCTCGATCTCCCGGCAGACGACTTGGGTGACCTCGTCCTCGTTGAGGAAGTGGACCTCCCTCTTGGTGGGGTGGACGTTGACGTCGACCCTGGCCGGGTCGACCTCGAGGCTGATGTAGGCGAAGGGGTGACCGCCCTTGGGCAGGTAGCCGGCGTACGTCTGCTCGACGGCCTTCTTGATGACGGTGGACTCGACGGAGCGGTGGTTGACGAAGAGGAGCAGCGTCGTCTTCTTGATGTGGTAGTTTGCGTTCGTGACGAGGCAGCGGGCGCGGAACCCCCAGCGGTCGTCGGACACGTCGTCCAAGTCGATGAGCTCGTTGGCCACGCCGCCGCCGTAGATCTGGCGGATGCGGTCGTTGACCGTCGCCGACGCCTGCACCGACAGGCTGTTGGACGACTCGCCCGCCTTCTTGCACGTGAAGCCGACGCCCAAGCAGTGGACTGCGTACCGGCCCAGCATGTCGATGATCTTGTTGTACTCGTCCGCCGGGGACCGGAAAGCCCGCCGCCGCGTCGGCACGTTGTAGAACAGGTCCTCCACCGTGATCTGCGTACCTGGCCGCCCCGCCACCGCCTTGGGGTCCGTCGACTGCCCGGACTTTGGCGCCGCCAGCCGTCCGGACAGGTAGTACGCGCGCCACGCCACGTCCGACTCGGCCGTCTTGGTCGTCACCGTCAGGTGCGCAATGTGGCTTATGCTTGCCAGCGCCTCGCCGCGGAACCCATACGTCGATATCGACGTCAGGTCCTCGAACGCCGAGATCTTGGACGTCGTGTGCCGCTCGCAGAGGAGTGGCAGATCATCTTTCTGGAATGTCAATGGTCAGGGAAATCTATGCAAGGCCCGTCACATCTCACCGGGGAAATGAAGGAAGAAATAAGAAAGGAAGAATGGAAAAAGAAGAAAAAAAAAGACGAGACGGAGAGGAGCTCACCTGTATACCACACCCGTTGTCCGTGATCTGCAGCACCTTCAACCCCCCTTCCTTGACCAGGATCTCAAGCGACGTAGACCCCGCATCCACAGAATTCTCTACGAGCTCCTTTAGTGCATGCACAGGCGCAATGATGATCTCTCCCGCCGCAATCTTGTTGACCACGTCGGGATCTAGCGCCTGGAGGTGACCGTCGTCAGTGACATGTCCCATGTGTGGGAGAGTGAGATGAGAAATACCCGTATCCTCTGAGTGGGGCGCTCCTTTTCAAGAGGCTCCTCAGCCTTTCTCTTGACCCCTGTCTCTACCACAGCTTCTTCCACGTCCATCGGATCTGACATCATGTGTGTAGCATGTGCGGCGGGGAAAGTACACTCTGTCTTCTCTCAAGACCCGTCAAGGTCGGAACGTCACGTTGGAGTTATTCTCATGCAACTCGTTGTGAGATTATCGTGTACACACACAGGTATAGGAAACGACGGATGGATCGTTGGAGTTGAGGCAGTTTGAAGGGATATATGCCTAGAATATTTTGATGATGAAATGAACATCCAGGATGGGGTTAGTTGGCGCGCCTCGACACTTTGGCGCGACCACCTCACGCTATCACGTGATGATGCGTCTCGACGTTGGGACATTCTTTCCAGCAAGAACATCAAGTTCAACTTTGAATCGTCCATGGGCTTTTCATTGCCATGATCGATTCTGCAATATCGGCTACCGCTTCACCGACATTAGAATGGTTTCTTACGCCGTGGAGGGCTATTTCTGCTAGCTAAATGTCAACTTCCTAGATTCCACATATTGCCATCTGCTACATAAGTGAGCCACGCCCCATGTTACAAGTCGGCCAGCGTCATTGATTGATTGTTCATGCTTTTGAATATCGAAATGTATCTCTACAAAACGCCAGGAATATAATCATCCCAACCCAGACATACCAGACATAGTAGAGTACCTGTATAGAAAAAAAACGCCCGCCATTCCCAGACCTCAAGCACCCCGCCCCCTTTTTTTTTTCTTTCGCTTCGCCGACACTCAAAACGTACACGGGGATATCATTCCGTCAACTTCAAGCAAGAGGTGATCCTAGTCCTTCCTCTACCCATCCGTACCTCCAACGCCAAGGTCAAAACGTTCGAAATCAGAAGATACCAGAGCAGCAAAGGGGATAAAAATACAATATCCGTTATGCCATGCCTCGTTAAGAGTACCAGTAGAGAATGACAGGGAACAGAAGAAGAAGAAGGAGAAGACGAGGGTGTATGCATGCTGATGCCACCACCCTTGTCATCTGCGACACAGAAGAGTCGCCTCCTAGACATTTGACGATAAGATTTGGAAAAAAATTCCCAGGCTGTGAGACAAAGGAGAAAAAAAGAAGAGCGTCGCGTGACGAGACCGGAAACCGATCAACGCGGCTGATTCGGCGCATCAGGCCTCCTGTCAAGAAGCCCGCCGATATCAACCCGTCGTTCGCCACCGACCTCGCGAGGCGCCCTGATGGGGGGAAGCCTGTAACTCGACAGCGGGGTCGGTGGCGGCTGCTGATGCTGATGCTGATGCTGATGCTGATGCTGATACCGATGCTGCTGTTGCTGCTGCTGCTGTTGCTGCTGCTGCTGTTGCTGCTGCTGCTGTTGCTGCTGCTGCTGTTGCTGCTGCTGCTGTTGCTGCTGCTGCTNTGTTGCTGCTGCTGCTGTTGCTGCTGCTGCTGTTGCTGCTGCTGCTGTTGCTGCTGCTGCTGTTGCTGCTGCTGCTGTTGCTGCTGCTGCTGTTGCTGCTGTTGCTGTTGCTGCCGTGACTGAACAAGCTCGCTCCGTGGCGTCTGTAGAAGTGGGGGGGGGGCTGGGAAGCCGGGCGGGCCGGAGATATTCGGCGTCGACGACGAGGAATACGGTCGTGGCGTGTACACAGGTATGGGGCCTGCAGCATGGCCGTACCCAGCCGATGGCTGCTGCTGCCGCTGCTGCGGTGGAAGTGGCGGTGGCCGTGGTGGCTCCGTTCCCGGGCCCGTTACAAGATGAGGCGTGCCGGGCAGGGGAGGAGGAGGCCCTTGGATGAGCTGGGACCGAGGCGGGTTCGTGACGTACGGGGGGTAGTGCGCCGGGTCCGGCTGCGAGATTGGTCGTGGCGGCAGCTGCTGCTGGGGTTGATGATGGTGGTAGAGCCGGTGAGGCGGAGCCTGATCGTGGGGTGACACGGGTGGCGGGAAATGGTGCGCGTTGAGGACCAGCATGAGAACGATGAAGTAAAAGGAGCCTTCGTTTGCGAGACCGATGTACACGTCGTGCTCACGCAGCTGCCCGTCGGCCCCGACAAAGACCAGGCTCTCCCGATGCGGGAGCTGGTAGCGGCCAATGTCCGCCGCGGTGAAGCCGATGCGCTGGAGGACCTCGTCTCCCCGCCCCAGTATGGGGGGCAGGTAGTTTGGATCCCTCCGCCTCTGCTCCTCCTGAAGCTGGCTCTTCAGCGCCGCGATCCGCTCTCTGTCGGTTGGGGTCACCATCTCCTCGAGCGTCCGGCGGTTGCTCAGCTGGCCCACGGCCTCGGAGAAGTGCTCTGATGTCCGGGAAATCTCGAGGTCCAGACTCAGGAACGCGACTGCCTGCGGGGCAGGCGGGGCGGGAGCCTGCCGCTGCTGCGGCGGCTGCCTCGCGATGGCTTGGCGCTGTGGTACCCCACCCTCGACGTATGACGGCATGATTTGGTCCGACCTGGGGAGCATCGAGTGCCCGTGCCCTGACGGCGTATGCGGGGCGGAAAAGTCGTATCTCAACGGTATGGAGGAGGGCCCAGGCACATGCGCACTGAGCGGTCTTCTAGATGGACTCGGCGGCAGCTGCTGCGCGGGAGTTCGGATAAGGCCGGGCTGGGCTTCTCGCTCGTCGCGGAGCCGCGGTCGGCCGCGTTTCTTGTGCTGCACATCGACGCAGTTATCTTGTTTGCCGCTTGTGAGACACCTCGAACACGGCCTCTGGTCTGTACTTGTGTCAGTACTCTGTCCCCACCAACAGGCTATCAATCAACGGGGGAGAGTGGGGGCTGGCGGGGCGGGGGCAATGTAGGCACTAGAAGATGGAACGTACTGTCGCATCTGGGAGAGATCATGTCAGAACCAGCAGTAGACCTGGGAAAGGAAAAGAAAGAAGAAAAAGGGGGAGGGGGGGGGGGGGGGGGGGGGGGGGGGTAGAGAGGAGGTGGGAGCATACCGTAGATGGGCTCTCTTGCAGGGGACACACGCTGACGCGACATGCCCCTTTGCCTTTCGCTGCGCCCTGGGTGAAGTAACGATTGGCTGGCTTTCGGGGAACCGTCCCGTTATGGGGAACCCGACAGAACCGGGCGTCCTCGGGCCGCCGGCCGCACCGGCAGACGGCATGAAGCTGGGCGGAGGACCGCCGTGCTGCAGGTGATGCTGCGGAACAGCGCTTTGGGGGATCGACGGGTGCGACAGCGGGCGCGGGCGGTATCCCCCAGGAGCAGCAGCCAGCTGGTAAGGGTGCCCAGGATGGACAGCCTGCTCGGGCGGCGGCTGCAGCGGCGGATCACGCCGGCGCTGCCGGTGCTCGTAGGCCGAGGGGACGCCGTGCTGGGCATCTGCCGGGGAGGGCTGTGCCGAGCCGCTGCCGGTGCGGTAGACATCTTGACGCGAGGAGGGGAGCACCGTCGTCGGATAGGCGGCGGCCGCTCCCGGGGCGGTTACTGTGGCCCGGTAGCCGCTAGTGCTGCCACTCGTCGGGTTCGCTGCCGCTGGCGGTCGGGGTGGGAGGGGGCGCGGCTCGCTGGCGTCTTGGGCTGCCTTGTGAGAAAGGGGGGAGCCTGACATGGGCGGCGAGGGATAGGCCCCAGCCCGGAAAGGTTGGCTCTCTTCTCGTCCTCCTCGGACAGCCGCCCAGGGCCCGTCGTCGTCCAGGTAGTAGATGTGCGTTCTGCTGCTGCCAGATGCCGTCGGATGGTGATCTTGTGGCGACGACGTGGGGGGAGGAGTGGCGCAGATTCTGTCGGCGACGCCTTTTCGGTTGATGGCTTGCATGGATCGGTGTGGTTTCTGGTCATACACGGGAAGGTGCTCTCTAGGTCTTCTGCTCCCGGCAAGGCGCAACAGGCGATGCTAGGTCGGGCTGTTGAGGCGAGGGCGGAGTCTGCACCGGGGATTCCGAATGTCTTGCTGCTGTCAGTCGTTCGTCCGCGGCAGACATGCCCTCGGCCAGCGCCGGTAACTCCAAGCTCTCCGTGCTCGAGGAGGCTGCGAGCTAGAGCTACAGTCGATGGCTTGTCGATATATTGCGGTGATACCAATACGTAGTTGCTCCTTGCTCGGGAACTGGTGGAGCTACCGCCCGTACCAGACGCCCAACGGTATCGACTCCGCGGAGGGGAGTAGACGTCAGAGAATCGACAGCACGTGGCCAAGATTACCGAACAGCCAGTATGCAGCAAGCAGCTATCCGGCAGGTGTCGAGCGTCCAAGAGCTATCCTGACTGGTCGGAAGAAGAGGGTGACGGAGAAAGCTCAGCCCGATGCGACGGACGGTGAGGTGCAATATACTCGTACAGATGCTACAGCTGCTGCGGCGGAGGCCAGAGAGAAAAGGAAGGGAAGAAAAAAACCGCTTGAAGCCGCTGCAGTACGATATGCGGCGGTGGGGAAGAGGTAAAAGAGAAGAAGTAGAAGAAGATTGAAAACGAGAAGACGGGCCACCCATGCGGTCATGCCAAGAAGCGCGCACGCAGTCGATCCAGTCTTCTAATACTCTCGTGGAAAGGAATCGACAAGGTGGGGGGAGGGGGATGGGAGCTCTCTTCTGTTTCCGTGTTGGTGATGGGAAATAAGAATCGGGATTGCGCAAGTTGCGACAGGGGGAGGGGTGTTATTTGACGTCGTTCTATGACGGAGGAGAGTCGCCCTGGTCGATGGAACACGGGAGGAGCAAGAGATGGACAAGGTCGTTGGGACGTCTGTTGATAAAATACGGGAAGTGTGGACTCGAATAGAGAGAAGGACGGAAAGAGAGGCTGGGTTGTTTTGTTTGTGTGTGTGGTGTGTGTGTCTGTGTCTGTCTGTGTGTACACGCACGTACACGTTCGGAGGGTGGGATGTTCACTTCCATGGGTCCAGGCCAGTCAGGTCAGTACTTTCCTCTCTCTCTCTCTCTCCTTCTCTCTCTCTCTCTCTCTCTCTCTCTCTCTCTCTCTGTGTGTGTGTGTGTGTATGTGTGTGCGTG